GTGAAAAGAGCTTTCCTGGAGCATTTCAGTCCTTGGTAGTGCAACAACTGAAGCAAACAATCAACTATAGGTGACAAGTCAAGAGATGGATACAAAAAAATTTCAAAGGCTTTATCAATGCCTAGAAGCACAGTGAAGTCTATTATTAAGAAGTGGAAGGTATTTGATACAACACAGACCCTCCCTGGATCAGGACGTCTCTCCAAACTGGATGAAAGAGCCAGGAGGAAACTGCCCAGAGAGGCGACCAAGAGGCCTACAGGAATTTATGACAAAGAGTGGTCATTGTGTGCATGTGACAACAATATCACAAATTCTCCACAAATGTGGCTTGTATGGGAGGGTTTCAAGAAAAAAGCCGCCACTCAAGAAAGGCCACATGCAGTCACAACTGAGCTTTGCCAAAACGCACCTTGAAGATTCTGAGGCAGATGAGAACACCAAACTATATGTCTGGCGGAAATCCAGTGCAGCTCACAATGCAAATAACAGCATTCCTACAGTAAAGCATGGAGGTGGTAATATCCTGTTATGGGGTGTTTCTCTGCAGCAGGGACTGGAGCACTTGTCAGGATAGCAGGAAAAATGGATGGGGCAAAATACCATCAAATTCTTGAAGAAAAACTGCTGTCCTCTGCCTGAAAGTCATCAATGGGAAGAAGGTTTACCTTCCAACAGGACAATGACCCAAAGCACACAGCAAAACTGAGCACACAGTGGTTAAAGGAGAAAAAGGTGAATGTCCTTGCATGGCCAAGTCAGAGCCCAGACTGAAACCCTATTGAAAATCTGTGGAATGACTTGAAGACTGCAGTCCACAAACGCTCACCATTAAATTGAAATGAACTTTGAGCAGTTGTGCAAAGACGTGTGGGCAAAAGTCTAAATGTGCAAAGTTAGTAGAGACAGAGACAAATCCCAACAGACTAAAGGCTGTAATTAAAGCAAAAGGTGGGTAATTAAAGCAAAAGGTGGTTCAACAAAATACTGACACAAGGGGGTGATCCTTTTTCCAACAATTTTTTGTTGGTGTTTTATCTTTCACTTGGATATTATAAGTTGCATTGAGTAAATACAGCTGGATAAAACAAAAACTCTGTCCGTCTTCATTTCAGGCTGCAAAGCAACAAAATGTTATTATTTTAAAGGGTATCTCTGTATATCTCTTTCTTATTCTGCTGTAAAATATATTTTTTAAACATTTAAGACATAACCTTGCACCATCATCTGAATTATACTACAGCTCTTTTTTATTATTATTATTATTTTTTTATTAATTAAATTTTAGGGAATTTTTTTTTGTAAACACTATAAAAGGGTTGAGTTTGTTTTTATATAAAGTGTTCAAATAGATGACAACCTTTTTTTCTTAAATAATTTCCCAAACTGAGTTGCCTAAGAATTACCTAAAACAAGTCTTTTGGTAACTTTTCGTAATTCTTGCGTTTTTAAATAGAATTTATTGTTAAATAACACATCTGAACTCGTATGCCTTCGTCTTGTCCCTCACAGTTGATGATAGTGCAATACTGGATTGCCAGTTCAGTGACTTCTACCATCCTCCTCCGCAAGGCTACCAGAAGATTCTTTTTGAGCAACAGATCTTCTAAAGTTCATGTGCTACTCCACAGCCGGGATTTGAAGTGCTGTGGTTATGACTGACTTCTAAAGATTGTGTGGCTCAGTCTAATGAAAAGAGTTGAAGTAATGTCATCTGTGATTTTGACTCGTGTAAAACTGTCACATATTTGGCTATTACAATTTAGTTTAAAAAGTCATCCTATGTTTTTCAGATGAACTCTGTGTTATATCATCTGCCTAGCAATCGATCTGTGCACTGATCTCAAAACATACTCAGAACATACATCTTTAATTTACGCTTCATCAAACACTGTACATTTACTGATGTACAGTATTAACAGTGTACTTTTGTGAACATATGTCCCCGGTTTCACAGACAAGGCTTAAGCCTAATCCCAGGCCAAAATGCATGTCTGTTCTGTTTCAACTGTAAGAAACTTGCACTGACGTATCATAAAATATGTACTATTAGTACTATGATTTGTCTCAAGATGCGCACAAGTAATGTTTTTTTCTAAGACACGTTTACTTAAATGTCCTAATTGAACTATAGCCTAATCCTGGCTTAATCTATGCCCTGTCTGTGAAACCAGGCCATGGATTTTTGCTTTAAGGCTGGTTTGAATACAAAAACGGGTAATAATGGAGTCACATATTACAGCTGACAATCATGACTTTATACTTTATGCATTTCAAGAGAACTAAGTGATGCTGACCTGAAATGCTGATATTGACTCAAAATACTGTCAAAGCTCTCTTTAATGTTATTGTTTGTCTGATTTCATTGTTGTCTGTCTGATGTATGACCTGCAGCTGCACACACCATATACATCATAATGACTTGGTTTTATACAAGCTCTACAAAAACACATATATTTAAATTTCATGGAGTTTATATTTGGTTGTATTTTCCATATTATGTTGCTGTTGATAACATTGTCTTCTCATTATTGCAGTTTCTGCACAGCATTTAGTGTGACTAATATATTAAGAAAACGTGAGACATACAGGAGGATAAGAAGTGTAAAGGTTATTGACCTTCAATATGTAATAATTTCACCCAGGTAAAAATATCTGATTGTCTTTCTTCTCTAATTATGAATTGTTGCAACTGACCACAAAACTGTTTTTAATAAATAAGTGAATATTGAATATGATGTTATTTTTGTATGTTCTAAGATGACAGGTCTTAGTTGTGTCTTTTAGTAATGAAGATTTTGCTTTTGTGGTTTGTTCATAAAGACTTTGTATTTACCTTACCATAATATAAGACTTAAACATGTTCCTGTTGTTATTAAAATGTGAATTTCTGCTTAACGACTATCATCTCACTGGCCTGTCTAGAGCGCACTGTGAGCGGTGACGTATTTTTACGTACGTTACTGGCGTACACATCATGTCAGATGAGCAAACTTGCGCAATGGCTAGTCTACGCACAATGACGCAAATCAACTGTACGGGTCGGGTCCAATGAAACACCTCGCCTTAACTCCAGTAATGTTTCACTGCAGAATCACTGCTCCTTTTATCATGATCCTTTACCTATAACCCCATAATGAAGTGGCGTAAAACTGTAGTATGCATCCACACAAGACCTGTTAATTGTCAAAAAGATAATATTACAGTTACCATACAGGAATCTGTCCCGTCTGCTCCGCACCACCCCGGTTCTAAATACATACACCATCATCTACTCCCCCCATGGTGATGAGAATCCGACTCATTTCCGTGATTCGGATCTTTCCCAAGATGAACAGATCAAAAAGGATCCAGCAATTTTGAACTCATCACCGTCTCTAACATTCATCAGTGGCATATTACCTGTCTAAAAAGTTCAAAAAAATCAATACGTAAATGCATATTTTATCACAGTTGACTGTTCAGAAGTATTAATAAGCAATTTAATGTATCTCGTTCACTTTGTTGCATGTATGATTCAGCTCAAAAATGCACAAAGTAATTTAGAAGTATGATTTGCATATACAAAAATCAAAACTAAAAATCACTCGGCTGATTTTTGTGTTTTAATAGAAAGAACACTAAAATAACTATATAAAACAAATAAAAGAAAACGCTCCTATGCGTGTTGATAAAACTGCCATACAATCAGGTCATAAACATTTCCTCTTCCAGTACAATATATTTACGAAAATTAAGGTTCAATGAGTCGGAGAGTTAGTGACTCGTGAACCGGTTCATTCAAAATATCCGACTAAAATGAACGATTCAATCACGAATCGGACATCGCTACACCCCACGCCCTCCGCTTCCTCCCTGAGCGGAGCTCCGCGCGTCGGCCGGGACTACAGACACACACATTCACACAGAGCCATGGCCGAAAACGCCGGCTTGGAAAACCATCGCATCAAGAGCTTTAAAAACAAGGGCCGAGATGTGGAGGTAAGCCCGCCAGAGACTTTGGACTCTAGGCTTTTTTTACATTTCGGTTTCCTCCTTCTGAGTCTCTGTGGTTCTGGTTTTATGGTGTCGGATCGGAGCGAGTGTTTGTGGATCCAGCAAGAGCATCATGCGGAGCGGGCGCGGCCTAGATAGAGGCCTCTTTAAACACATTTGCCTTCAACATTCACCAGCTCATCGCGGTTTATACACGGGCTTGAGTTGTTATAGTGCATTATTTAGTCGTGTAATATAAAAATTGGTTTGTCTACAAGGTCGGTTTGGTGGCTCGGCTGTTATTTTTTAATTTTAAAGTACGCTGGGCCAAAAACATGCAGATTTATCGTGTTAGCATGTGGGCTAGCGGCTAAATTAACTGGTTAGCAGGCGGCAGATTAATCGCCCAGCAGCCCGTTTTTTCGTGTTTTTTCGTACTTATACTTTTAACATTCACGTATAGAAGATAAACACCGTAAACATTGTCACATAACAGGGAATATAACTTGCGAACCAGATATATGCGACAGAGACGTGTGTTAAACCGGCTTTAGCAATCTCTCCAGAACTGAACTAATGATGACCAGTCATACCTCAACAACTGACCTCTTTATTGCTCGTTTAGTCACGCCAGGTTAGCAAGCCTGCTGTAGTTGATTTTAATAGACCTGTTCATTGATTAGAGCTGATTGTGGTGTTTTAATAAAGATGTCGTTGTGAAAAGACTACTGCTTCACATCTTTTCCTCTTCAATCAGATCGTCCTTCGGTGTGGCAGTTAGCATCTAAGCATCACCTGTAGATACACCAGAGTTAAATAAATCTGATTTTATTGCCTTCAAACTGGAATGAAGACCTCCAGACGGTCGTGCTCCTGAACCCCAGTGTAGGCTGCAACAAGGCGACCTAGAAATATTAGCAAGCCAGGTTGTGCCGTAATCTGATAGATTATATAATGCAGCAATTAAGTTTTTTTTCCTTGCCACTGTTGGTTTGATCACTATGTGACTAAAGATATAATGTAATTTTATACCGTGTTTAAGTTTTATGACATGACTTTCAGTTAACTCCTCAGGGGTGGGCGATATGATTGAAATTTCAACCCAGATCATTTATATTCATCACTTACCATGGTGGTGATACACATCACCAAATAGGCTTGTGACTACACCAAATTTATAAATTGAACAAAACTTTTTAAAAGTTTCATAGTCCTTAATATCGCCACAAAATAAATTAATAACTCCTAGTCCTACCTACAGCTACTATAACCAACTTTACCCGCATACACACAGTCCACTCATGTAAGCGGTATATACTATGTAGCAAATCTCATCTGCTGTCTCAAAATTAACTATATTATCTCCCAGCAATATAAAGTTGTGTGTGTATATATATATATATATATATATATATATATATACACAGATATATACAGGTATAATCCACATACATGCATAGTGAATTTTTTAAAATTTGAAACTATAAATTTAGTTTAAATATAAACTATAATATCGGCAGCATTATATTTACAGTTGCCTATATAGTACATCCAACTTTATCTCTTTACATAAAGTGCAATCATGTAAAGCACTATATAGCGAATGTCAACTGCTTGACTGTTTATAACGCTGCAAAATGTAAACTATATTATGGCCCAACTCTATATATGAAGTTGGTTATATAAGTATATGCAGCTTTATCTGTGAACACTCACGTAAAATGAAATGTATAGCAAATATCAACTATTATTACCCAGCTCTATATATAAAGTTGGATATATAGTAGGGCTGCACGATTAATCGCATGCGATATTTAACGCGCATCTCATTCAACTTTACCTGCATGCATACTCGCGTAAAACAATGTACTATATAGTAAATCGCGAGTAACCCCAGAGGCCTCCTTCAAGATTAACGGTGTGAATTGACTGCGACTGTAGGGTGCTGGTGTGACTCAGCCGTCAGACACATGGCTTTGGATGAGGCCGGCAAAGCTGTCGCCCTTCTGCAGCTATTCCCAGAATTTGCAAACCAGATTCAGATTTCTCATCTTGTGTTCCTATAAGAGTGAAGGGCTCGTGCACAGTGGCTCAGCTGACCTATTTGATGTGGTCAGCAACGAACTGTGGGATACTTTGACTCATTAGCTGCTAGATTTAGCCCATAACAAGGATGTAATCGTAGCTAACCGAGAGAGTAACAAGTGCTTCTGTCTGTGTTTTGCATTTGCTAAGTGGCTTTGGAAAAAGAAACAAAGGCGTTTGATTAGTCTGCCATGTCACATATACTCTCTTTATACGAAGATCAAAGAGTTCATGTTCAAATTTGCACAATATTCAAAAAACATTTGTGATCGGATTATAGGGCTGAGTGTTGACATTTCACAATTTGATTCGCAATCATGAGCTCTTGATTTGATTGATTTGTAATACAGTGCATATATTTATTGAAATGGTCCTCTCTGGGTTATTTTTTATGACATTGTTTACAAGCTTATATTGATGTCTTTACATGGTTGAAACACTGAAGAGACAAAACATTTCAGTAAGTTTCTTTTATTCATGTTTATTTAGTGCTATAACTAATAATAGTAACAAAGAAGAGATGATCATTGACGGTCACTGCCTCTTGAACTGAGGTGGCTATAACACTTATTGTTTGAATTTTGCAAATAAAAGGAACAAAATTTGAAAGCTGTTTCTTATCAAAACTAAGAAAACTCCATGCTTATTGTGATTATTGAATTACAGATGTGCTAAACATAATGTTGTCGTGAAGATTTGTTTATGCATTAACGTTAAACACGGTCTTCAGACTCATTATCGAGATCATTAAAATGAAGATTATTAATTAAAATTGATGTTGTCTGTGTCAACCCAGCTAAATTGAATTACTTGAAGTCCTTCCCTCAGTAAGCCTACATCCTGCGGTTTTGCATTTTCCAAATGCTTAAGTGAAATCATGTGTGGGTAATTTGTGTATTATTTACACTTTTTTTAAAAGTGACTTAGAACACATAACCTTGGTGTTGCAGGCTGCATGGTCTAAAAAGATAGTCAAGCAAGCCTGATGTTTGTGGCTATTATACGGTTAGCCGATTTATTAGTATGTCGTGGACCTTACAGCAGTGAGACAGCATGTCCT